AATTTCATGCCACAGAGTTTCTTTTTTGGGGGGTGTGTGTGCGTGTGTGTGTGCGCGCGCGCGCGCAGGGTGGGAGATGAAGGCAACGTCTATCTCCAAGCGTGTCTCCGCCTGACCTGCGCCCCTGACCTCTGGTGGTTCCAGAGGACAGCAGGCATCGCCATTGCCCGGGCAGAGCCGTCTTCATTATATGTGGCCACTGGGTCCAGATGATTAACGGTCACATTTTAAAAATTCACACAGACCTGGAATCAGCAGTCGAAAATACAGATTTAAATTAACAAGGAAAAAAGCAGAATCCCATCAAAGGAAATAAATCGTGCTGGCAACTATTTGTCACGTAATAAAATGTATTCTGTGACTGAAGGGCTTTTATGTGGAGCTGTCTGCAGCCTCGTGGCCATGTTAATTGAATAAGGTGCCTAAGACTGACTTGGGGGGTGGGGCAGGGGTGACATTGCCCTCACGTGGCCGGCGCCGTGTGGGCAGCATGTGGGATGCTGACCTGTTTGTCACAGAGCAACCACCGCCTGCAGAGCCGGAGCTGCTCAGTGGGGAGTGACTCTGGGCATTTTGGGGTTTGGCAGGCAGGGAGAGGCCAGAAAAGCTGGGGAGCTCCCCTCTGGCCACCCAGAGGACTGACAGTCCATCACTGGAGCCGACTGGCGGAGATGTTGGCCCTGACGGTCAGTCCTCATCCCTGTGGTCAGCACCTACAAGGATTGGGCAGAAGGGCTTCGTCCCCAGGTGCCACCCTCCACGGGCCCCTCATCTTGGCCTGCTGGTGATCTCTGAACTTTCTCAAGATCTATCGCACACTGCTCAGCCCCTTGGGGGGCCTCTGAAACGACGCCACTAAGGTGGTGTCACAGGGGGCCCTGATGATCATCGGGTTCCCGGCTTGTCAGTTCTGTTTGGTGCCAGTGGCCACCTCCTCATCCTTGTCACCGCCCGGGCAGTGTCTGGTGCCCAGGCCCTGCTGACCTGCCCAGCGGCCCTCCCCTTGCCCCCATAATGGCTGAGTCCCGGGTGGACTCCGGTGGTCTCGTTCGACAGTTAGCTTCTGGGGAAGAAGCAGCAATGTTGTCTGTGGTGTATGATCAGAAACTTTTTCCTGCTGTGAATTCCTGGTGACCGCCAGCCCGGATTCTCACACCACCCCCATGTTCCTCTGAGGTGTTGAGGAGTGGAGTGCGTGATGCAGAGACCCTTGATGGGGCAGACACACAAGTGACTCCTGGACAGGGCTGGGGTTGGGGCGCCACGCGTGAGTGGGACCTGCAGGCTCCCCGGTCCGTGGCTTCTGCACCCGCAGACTCAGGCACCGACTGACATCTGCAGTTGCTTGAATATCGTGAGTGGAACCCGCGGGTAGGAGTGGACCCGCGCAGAGTGGCCCCGGGCAGTCCCGGCCGTGCTGTGGAAGGCTGGGCAGGAGGAATAGAGGCCAAGAGCCGCTTGTGTCGAGAAGACTTGGGGGGTGTAATAGACTCGGTTCAACACTTGATTGGGTCAGCAAATGTTCAGTGCTTGTCTACTGGAGGCAGGAATTGTCCTGGGGAAATGGGTGAAAATTGATGACATCTGGCCCTGCTCTTGAGGCCGCGGCCACAGCAGGGAGGCGGGCTCGTGCCTGCGGGGACAAGCCAGGAAAGACTGTCCCAGACAGGCGCTGCTCTGGGGGTCTGGAAGGATGAGCACGCGTTTGGAGAGCGGGTATGGAAGACACGAGAATCTAAGAGGAAGGAGCAGCAGGGGTAAGGAGTCGGCTGAGACACGAAAAGGCCGTCAGATTCAAGGTTCCACTCTTTCTGCTGCAGGCAGAGGAGGGAGTGAGCAGAGGCGCCGTGGGTGCGGCTGCTGTGTGAGGACAGCTCCGCCCAGCATGTGACTATGGGTGGGGTGTCCAGGGAGAGGAGGGGCGTGCAGAGAACTGAGACAGCACGCTTTTTGCAAACAGCAACTCTTAAAAGTTTGGGGGGAAAGCCAGAAAGGACCACCTGTGAGGGAAAGAGAACCAGGGGAGGGAGAGATGCAGTGAGTGGCCAGTCAGGCGAAACCTGCTGCCCCAGAGACAAGAACACTCAGACGAAGCCATGGTGGACAGGGCAGCGAAGGAGCCAGGCACTTTGGTTTCTCCATTAGCTACTGTGTGTGCGCGCAATAAAAATGTGCCCCAAACTGTTCATGTAAAGGGTTACAGGAGGTCACCTTGGCAGGAATGGCTGAAGGTCTGCACACAGTAGGTGCTAAATAACTAGCTTTGTGACACTCTCCATTGTAATCTGCTTTATTCCCTTCTACCAGGGCATCTTCCAGTTTCCTCGCCTTCCCACAGACTGGCAATCTTTTAAAATTGTAAATTGGATCTTGTCACACCTCTGTCTAAAAGTGCTTCAGAATGAAGTCCAAACTTGCGTGGAGGTCCTGTTGTGGGCTCTGACCTCATAGCTCTCTGCCTCTTGGACCCACACCCTTTCTTTGCCCTGACCTCCTTAGGAGACCACCTACAGAGCCTGGAGGCTTGCTGCAGCCCTCTGACCCTGCCATTCTCATTTCTTCACCCAATGCCAATTCCTCCAGGAAGCCTTCCAGAGAACCCCTGCAGAGCACTTTAATTCTTCCTGCCTTCCACTGGTAAAAAGGTGTTCCTGTAGCTTCACAGATGTTTTTATGCTCCCTGGCTGCAGGGGTCCTGCTTGTCCTGACTGAGTCCCCCACAGGTCTGTGTTGACTCATGCTAGATGCTCGCAAGGCTGAACTTTGCCCACCGGTGGTACGGCTGACCCCATCTCTCCCTTACCTCCCTGCTTGCCTTTTGCTGCCATCCTGGTCCCCTGACTTCAAGGTTCTGTTAAGCCTCCACATTCCCCTGGAGGCACTGTGCACTGCACAGATGTTTTGTGTTCTTAATTAAGTTGATGCACCTTTTTAGGTCTTTCAAAGCTTAGGAATTTAAGGGTGCGGCAGCCCTGAAGCATAATTCTTCCCTGGCCCTCCCGTGCCTGGCTCCTGGGAATCCCGTTGGTACAGTAAATGCAACAAAAGCACCTACTACCCCCACGGGGCCCGTGCTGCTGTGATGCTCTGCTCCTACCATCTGGGAGTTCTTAGGTCCCCACTTTCATTTTGCACTGGGCCCCACACATCATGTCGTTGGCCGTCCCCCTCCCGGTAGGGATGCCTGAGGACCCATACAGAATGCGTGAGACCTGCCCACCCGGGGCCTGGCACCTGGCGAGCACACTCTGTCGGGTCACCTGTCATCATTTAAGCTCTGCTCAACCACAGCCACAGCCGATAATTCATTCTTCTGTTTGCTCAGCTTCATTGACTAAGTGCTGTGGTCAGAGGCATTGATCAACTGCCTAAAACCCTCCTGCAGCTGCTCCTCGCCGTCTCAGGCCGCCCACACCTGGCCCATCTTCAGAGGTACCGCGGGGGCTTGTTCAGAGCCGTTCTGCACCCAGTCCAGTGGGCTCCTGGGCGGGCAGGCGGCGTCTGCACGGTGAGCAAGTGCTCGCAACTCAGGTGCCTCCAGCTCTGCCTTGTGGGCGGAGCAGATCTTGGGCCCCGCCTTCCTTGGGCATAAAACCCAACCTCCGGCCTGGGTAGCTGGCGGCCTTTCCAACTCGGGCCGGTCTCCTTTCCAGCTTCATCCCCGTGCGCGCCTTAACCAGGCTGTCCCTGCCACCGGTGAGTCCCTCTTACTCCCATCACACGTGTCCCCTGAGAAGCGTCACTAGAAGCCCGTGCTCCTGTCTTCGGTGCTCCCTCTGAGTGCATGTCATGCTGGAGGGTGGCTTCCTCCCGCACCCCGGGGCCCCGAGCTCCTGGAGAGGCTCAGCTTTTGGCCTTCGTCAGCGTTGGTGATGAGCAGACACACTGCAAGCAGCTGCTACCTGCGGGGCCCTCAGACCAGGAGCGCGGTGGGTACCCCAAGCGCCCACCCGGTCAGCTGCCCCTGGTGGCACAGGTGGCTGCCCCGACTCACCCCGGTGCCCAGCAAACCATATGCCTTTATCTCCCTGGGCTGGTGCGACCCCAGAGACCCCTGCTCACCCCTGGCTCTGTGGGGACAGACCTGCCTAGAGAACCTGTCCCCCAGGAGCCTGTCCACATGAGAACCATTCTAGGAGGTGACATGTTTGCCGTGAAAAAGGCAGCGTGTAAAACGTAAAGCTTCCTCTGCATGTTCAATGTTCCTGCCCTCGGCCGCTTCCCTTTTGGGGACAGTAAGTACTGCCGCAGCTCAGCCCTCTGAACTGTGCAAACCAGCCCCGTCACCCAGCGAGGGGTCTTGTTGCGGCTCTCCCCCCAGACCTGTTGGGTTGAATATTTCCCCCATTCCCAGCTTCTCTGCGAATGCCAGCGGCAGCTGAGGACCATGCCACAGGGACCCATTCCCCGGGTTGAATCTTCAGTGCTCTGCGGGCCTCGTTAGCTTCAGTGGCCCACACCTGCCCCGTCAAAGACATTGCAGGTCGGTGGAAGGTGCTTTCTGAGCACCTGCGTGTGCCCACGTGCCCCCACCCCATAGCAATTAGAGGCTGTTTCCTTCTGACCCGGGTCATCAGTTGCTTGACTCACCTGGTCCTCACACCAACGCATTCCCTTACAGAGTGCGCCCAGTGCTGTTGCCCTCTGCAGGACCAAGACAGGAGGACAGGACAGGCCAAGACGGAGTCAGGCCTGGGTGCTTGGTTCTGTCGGTCTGTTGTGCCCAGCGGGCAGAGAGCCAGGGTCAAATGCCCCCCCCCCCACTTTGAAGCACCTTGGAATTGCCATGAGGTTCGGGAAACCCTTTCCTCACTGAGATTGTCCTCCCCAGTGTGTGGAAGAAGGTGGCCGCTGATGTCTGGAAACTTCGGATTCCTCCGGACAGACTGGAGGCTGGTGGAGGAGTCCTTTCAGGGGGCCAGTGGTGGCCAAGCTGCCTAGACCTTGAGGATGGCTCCGCACACCCCGTAACTCCTTTTTCTCCTCTGTCTCTTTCTCAGGCACATTTCTCTAACGCTACCTGCTACCTTCCGAGGCAGGAACAGCACCCGCGCCGACTACGAGTACCAGCATTCCAACCTGTACGCTATATCAGGTACGTGAGCGCCGCTGCCGGGGCCACCGTCTGTCCCAGCCCCCCCCACCCCACGCTTCCTGGCTCCTCTGGCCCCTGCGGCTCCTCCTCCCAGCCAGGGGTCTGGGCCTTTCCTTGTGGCACCGCGGCGCTCCGGGAAGGGCCAGCTACTCAGCATGTTTTGAAACTAATGATGAAAAACTGTGTGTGGGTTTCACAAGCTTGAAGGGAGGTTTCCGAGAATAGTCTCCGAATTGTTCACCTGCCAGACCCAGGGCAGACTTCCCAAGGGGACGTGGAGCCGCAGAACGGGGCCGGCCCACCCGCCCATATCCAGCTCTGTCCTCACCTCTCATTTCTCAAAGCCAAGCCTGTGGCCAGAAGGTACTCCGACGGCCCCCCACACGATCCCCCTTGAATGCGTCTGTGCTTTCTGAACTCGGCCTTGAAATTGATAGTGTTGCCTTGGCAGGAACTTCATCAGCCCTGGTTTTCCTTTTCACCTTCGCCCAGGGAGGGGAAAACTTACAAGCCTTATTACAGAATTGAGATTCATCAGGTGTCTGGCAGCACAGGTGACTCGCTAAGAGCCGAGGAAACCCACAAACTCGCCCCTGATTATTCCAGGCCTCCAGTCAGGGGGTGTCTGTGCATGAGAGGGAAGTGGCAAATCGGTGCCACTTACCAGCGCACTCTCTTAACGCTGAGTGACACTTTGAACACGGGAACATGGCACTCATTCATGTACCATAATGAATCGGTTATTTAAAAGGTAATCTTTTTTCTAAAAATTGCAACTTCAGGTTACTAAATAGATGAAATAGAACAATGGTATAATTCGTGTCAGTATTAGTTTTTCTCGTTATGATCACTCCCTAATAGGTTTGGAAGTATAAGCAAAAGCCAGTTGCTCCCTTTCTGGGTGGCCTTCCTGCCGGGGGAGGCAAGGATGGGGTGCCTGTAGCCACGGTCCCTGCTCTGCCCAGAGCCCGGCCCCCGGGGTGGCTGGAGCACGCTATCTCCAAACCGCACCCCCGGGGAGCACCTCTTCTGTGCCGCAGCTATTTCAGCAGAGTCGACAAGGAGCATAACAAGTGTGGAAAGGTGACCTATTTTGTAGACACTCTGGATATTTCCCCAGATGCTTAGTGGCCGCGTGGTGCAAAATAGGCCTGTGGAATCCAGCAGGGCGACCCTTTCCAAAGGCACGTTACGAAAACTCCATCAAAGCGGATGCCCTTTTCCCTCCAGCTTGGAAATCTTTCCCATCCAGTGCTCGCCTCCCCCCGCCCCCTCCCCTGGGTGCGCTGATGGCTTCCCCAGCTGTGGGCCTTCTGCAGGAGAGGGCCGTGGAGCCGCGTCTCCGGCGTTGGCGGAGCATTCCAGCCGGCCCCTGGACCGCTGCTTCCTCGCCCTGTGGCTTTGATGAGGTGTTGTCTGGGCTCATTTCAGCTGTTGCTGAGCAGGACTGAAGTAACAGCCTCAAGACACAGGGGAAGCCATTCAGAACTCCCTGTTACATTTATGTAAGCGGCAGTCAATTGGAGTTCATCTTCCAAGCAGAGGTGGTTGAGGCTGCAGCCCGCAGCAGCAGGCAGCTCGCGCCTCCTCGGCACCAAATTGCTCCGCCAGGGTCCAGGGTTGCTTTGTTGTGATGCTGCCAGGAAGACCTTGCAGACCCTGCAGGCTCCACGCGGCTTGCAAGCTCAGCACTGGGCAACTGCGGTGCGGCTGGGAAGCCTGCCCGCCCGCCCACCGGCCGCCTGCCTGTGAGCCATTCTGGCTAGAAGGGCGCAGAGTCCAGCCCTCACCCCCGCCTTTCTGTACCAGCAGTATTTGGCACTGGTGGCAGCTCTCAGTTTGGCATCGTGAGGTTAAGGCTTCCGTGGTTTGTTCCAAAAGCAGTTAGGGCAAACTGTGCCCTAGGCCCCGGCCCCTGCCCAGGGCCGACGCCACGGTAGCTGGAGCGCTGTGCTAATGAGACGAATCCTCAGCCCTGCTCCTCCCATGCTGGCTCCAGCACACACCCCTGCACACAGTGGGCGACCCCGGACACGTCTCTGCTTGCTTGGCCGCCCCTGTGCACACCCGCCCGCCCCTGGGCTGCAGGCACCTCCTGAGACCAGGAGGTTTGCAAAGAGCGTAATTAGGACTTTGAGAAGCGGCCCCCATATAAGTTTGTACACATGGCTATTAAAGTAAGGTTTATTTTTAAATGTTTTCCCAAAGGCACACCTATTAATATGTCCCTTCCCCTGGATCTTTCACTAGGACAGGTCCCCTCTGCCTTGTCCAGAGAGAGCTGCTCTTGGAGTTGCTGGAGAAACCAGTGGAGCCGGGTGCAGCTCTGTCCTGGGCACGTTGGGAGGTGGGGGGACATTCAGCCCAGGTCTGCCTTGCACAAGGATACCCTCTATGACCAGGGAAGGTGACCCACCCTCTTCTCCAGAACATCCTGTGCCTGGGCCACCACCTCCCATGAGCCTGTGCCATCTCCGGGAGGTTCAGCTGACACTGTGCTTTCATATCCGCCTGGCTGTTGGGCAGAGAACCGTGCATCCGCCTGCCTCAACGTGCCAGCTGTTCTGTACAGAGATCGGCCCATAGCTCTGCTTCCCCACAGAGGGGGGCGTGAGGAATGGCCCTTGCCTTGGAACTGAGCCTTGAGCAGTGCGTTTGGCTCTGCCATCCTGTACCCGAATGGTTGAGGTCACGACAGGCGCCGCTGCCCTCAGGCACCCTCTCCCAGGAGCATTCTAGAAAACGCTTAAGAGATGTACAGATTTATCCACAAGGATGAGCACTACTGCTTTTTAAAAAATACTCCAAAACACAGGGGCGGGGAAATGACTCGCCTGAATGTCCAAAACCAAAGCAAATGACTAAATCATGAAACATGGGCACAACGGCCTTAATTTCTCAAAGTCAAATAATTTAGATAAAAAGATGTGCGTGAATACAAAGTGGAAAAAAAGAACCCAAACAGTGGTGCTAGAACCAGAATGTGCAGTGTGATTTCATTTAAAGCTCTACAGCTGGGGGCCTGGAAGTCCACGCCAGGGGCTACAGGGGTTTTCACCCGACTTCCCACTAATTTCTTTCTGCTGCTTTGCAGTGGCCCGGCTTTCTGTGGGCGCATGTGTTGCTTCTGTAATAAGAACAGCGCGGGCCTGAGTTAATTGGACGCGTTCTCAGGGAGCTGCGCTGGCCCCCGGGGAGGCCCCGTCGTCTGCCAGGTGCTCAGAGGCCTCCTGGCTCATATTATGCTTTTGAGTTCTGGAAATCACTTCCAGGCCACGGATCAATAGCTGCCTTATTGTCTCCTTTTGAGACTGATTTCCCGCATTGTGGTCCAGCCCCTGGAACCTTCTGTCCACGGAGGTTCCTCAGGGCCACAGCCCCGCCAGAGCTCTAGGGCAGCCAATCGCCCAGCCTGAGGGCACCCGCCCAGGCCTGCCCCTCAAGACTCTGTCGCCGTATCACCTGCCCCTCAGGGCTCTTTCCTCCATAGAAGAGACGCAGGCATGATGGCAGGTGTGTGAGTTGGGGTCGCCAGCCAGGCCTGTGGCCATGCCTCACCCACAGCCTAGCAAGCTCAGGGTGGTTTTAATATTTTCAAATTGTTGAAAATAATAAAGTGAATAAAATTTAGCGATGTGGAAATAATATGAAAGTCAAGCTTGCGCACTCAGAAGCCAAGTTTTACTGAAACAGGCCACGCCCATCCCTATGCAGGTGGCCTTTGACCCCAAGGGTAGGACCCAGTGTCTGGACAGAGACCACGTGGCCCCCAGACCCGAGCAGTCCTGGGCAGTGGTGTCCCCATCGTTAGCAATCTTGCTTGAAGTGTAACTTTTCAAAGCCCTTTTTATATTGTTTTTGCTTTTGCTAAGTGGTGGGTCACGCTTACTGGATGTGACTCCTAGGGGTACCCTGATGGGAATGTCCCCCCCCCCCAGTTCGGTGACTGGGGTCTTGCCTCCTGGTAGGGCTCTCCGGATTCCACCCAAATCCTACCCCTGAGTTTCCACATCAGACCTCTTCGTGGCTGTCGGTTTTCTTTATGACAATAGCTCACTTCCTGGAAAGTTGTCTGCTCCACGCCCGGTGATGGTTCCTGCTTCTTTTGGTGGGGTTTTTTTTTTAGATGTTTGAAATCTGACTATTTATTCTGACCATCAATTCCAGAAAGATAGCAGGTAGCTACAAAAATACAAGTAGCAAGGTGAAGATGGAAGTGAAAAAGTAAGCTTGTGTGGACGAAATAGGCTGGGGAGGGAGGCATAGCTGTGGGTGAGGCTTTGCACGAAGGGTACTGGGTTTGGTCTCTGAACAGAGAAGATGGAAACAAGCTGGCTGCGGGCAGAGCCCACGGCCCTCTCCCAGAGCTCCTCGACCTCGAGAGGGCCACAGGGTGCTGGGACCACACGGCAGCTTCTCCTGGTGGGTGCGCCCAGGACAGCCCGGGTGCCTGTGGGTGGGGGACACACTTGTGCTTGGAAGCCAAGGCAGGTGTTACTGCGCTTGTCCTGCCATCAAGTGCCCGAGGGTCTGACACCCATGGGCATCAGCTAAGAGGAGCTCCCCAGCCTCCTGTCTGACCCAAGCAACACACCTGAGCCCAGGGCTGGCTGGACCAGGAACGGCTTGGCCCATGGGTGCCCAGTGGCTTGTTCTCACCTGGAAATGGCCCTGGTCTGTCTTGTCACGGGTTTTGCTTAATGAACAGGTGCTTACAGGTTTGGGAAGCCACGCTGTGCTAGTCTTTGTTTTTGTAGTGGTTATAAATGGATTTATATGTCCACGTGCAAAATTTTTACCAAAGAAAATTAATTTTTCTCCCTTTTGGAAAAAATGGACATAGTATAAAATAATAAAACTAAGAAAATGCATATTAAAACTGGCATGCAGCAAAACTGGAAATTTCACACGTCCCTTGAACTCCCCCTGCGGTGCAGAAATGCCCGGCGGCCTCCGCCCACACTGGGCTGTGGGGCGGGTCCTCTTCCCCTTAGCATACA